TGTTCCTGGAGATCCTTTTATCTCTCTCTATGTCAGCTTCTATACGTTTCTGTTCTCTGTTTTCTATTCCTTCAGTGGCCTCTTGCATCTTATCCATTCTGCTTATAAATCCTTCCAGGGTTTGTTTCACTTCTGTGATCTCCTTCCTAACATCTGTGATCTGGCTGTGGAGTTCATCCCATTGCTCTTGCATTTTTCTCTGCATCTCATCCCATTGCTCTTGCATTTTTCTCTGCATCTCCGTCAGCATTGTCATGATTTTTATTTTGAATTCTTTTTCATGAAGACTGGTTAGGTCTGTCTCCTTCTCAGGTGTTGTCTCTGTGATCTTTGTCTGCGTGTAGTTTTGCCTTTTCATGGTGATAGAGATAGTTTGCAGAGCTGGTACGAGTGACAGCTGGAAGAGCTTTCCTTCTTGTTGGTCTATGGCCTTCCTCTCCTTGGAGAATAGCGACCTCTAGTGGCTTATGCTTGGCAGCTGTGCACAGACAGGGTTTCAGCTATCTGCGGGTTGGTTTGGAGTTTATCTCCACTCTTGCTGTGGGTGTCGCCTGGCTGGGGCTGCTCCTCCAAAATGGTGAAGCCCCATTGGAGGGGGAGCGGCCGGGAGACTATTTATCTCCGTAAGGGGCCTCTGTGCCTCTTGTTGCCCAGGGGGTTAGAGTGCCGAGAGATCCCCAGATTCCCTGCCTATGGGCTAAGTGTCCTGTCCTGCCCCTTTAAGACTTCCAAAAAGCACTCTCCTTACCAAAACAACAACAGCAACAACGTAAGTGAGAAAAAAAAAGATAGGGAAAAACGCGCAATTTTCTTTTTCCTCAGGCACCGGTCTCAGGCACCCGCTCACTGTTCTTGCTGCCCTGTTTCCCTAGTATTGTGGTCCCTGTCCCTTTAAGGCTTCCAAAAAGCACTCGCCAAAAAAAATGGGAAAATGTGCGATTTTCTTTATCCTCAGGCACTGGTCTCAGGCACCCGCTCACCAGTCTTGCTGCCCTGTTTCCCTAGTATTGGGGTCCCTGTCCCTTTGAGGCTTCCAAAAAGCACTCGCCAAAAATAAGGGGAAAACTCGCTATTTTCTTTGTCCTCAGGCGCTGGTCTCCGGCACCCGCTCACTGGTCTTGCTGCCCTGTTCCCTAGTATTGGGGTCCTTGTCCCTTCAAGGCTTCCAAAAAGCACTTGCCAAAAAAAAAACACCACTCTCGTTTCTTTGTTCTCCAGCGTCAGCCTCAGGCACCCGCTCACTGGTCCTGCCACCTTGTTTCCCTAGTATCCAGGACCCCACGCATGCACTGTGTCTGTGCTCTGGTCCAGAATCCTGGGGCTAGATGTCAGCAGTCCTGGGCCTTCTCTCCCTCCCTGCTGACTCCTCTCCACCCGCCAGGGGCCAGGGGGAGGGGTGCTCAGGTCCCGCTGGGCCGGTGCTTGTATCTTACCCCCTTCGTGAGGTGCTGGGTTCTTGCAGGTGTGGATGTGGTCTGGATGTTGTCCTGTGTCCTCTGGTCTCTATTTTAGGAAGAGTTGTGTTTGTTATATTTTCATAGATATATGTGGTTTTGGGAGGAGATTTCCGCTGCTCTACTCACACCACCATCCTGGCTCTGCCTTTTTTATGTCTAATTTGTCCTGTCAAAATATGTAGAATAATGTTGACTGTGAGAGTGAACTTTGCTGTATTGATACTGGATCTTCGAGGAAAGCTTTCAATCTTTCACCTTAGTTGTGGTTATCTCTGGACTCTGCAGATGCCCTTTATAATGTTAAGGAAGTTGTCTTCTATTTCTAATTGGTTGATTGTTTCACTCATGCAGGAATGTTGGATTAGAAAATGCTTTTCCTGCGTCTATTGGTGTGATCATTTTTTTTTTTTTTGTTCTAGTATTAACATGGTGTATTCCATTGAGTTTTAGATGTTCAACCAAACTTGCTTTCTTGGGGTCCCTCTTATTCACGGTATATAATCCTTTTATGTTTTACTGCATTTAGTTTGCTAGTATTTCCTTGAGGATTTTTGTGTCAGTATTCACAAGGTGTATTGGTCTGTAGTTTTCTTTCCTCATGATGTCTTTGTCTTACTTTGGAATCAGGGTAGTACTGGTATCATATAATGGGTTGGGAAGTGTTCTTATCCTTTCTAGTTTTGCAACAGTTTATGAAGTGTTGGAACAATTTATGACATCAAATCTTAAAAGACTAATGGTATTTTAATATCTATTTTTATCTTTTAGGATTCTCCTTTCACAAATGCAGGAATGGGATCTAACCTAAATCTCTTAGGTGAAATTGAGTGTGATGCCAGCATAATGGATGGAAAATCCTTAAATTTTGGAGCTGTTGGAGCGCTGAGTGGTATGTGAACATTATAACAAACTATCTCTATTTAAAAAACCTATGAATATGAACATTTCATGCCACCTAAAGACTTAGTCAAGTCTTTTTAGCTTTCTTGCTTTCAACAGTGTGAAAAATCAACATTTTTTTTTCACTGAATTTAAAACCTGAAATCTTAGTTATCAATAGTTTTGAAGAGTGAAACAATTTATGTTTGTCTTTGTTAGAGTTTGATCATTCTCTTCCATCCCCTCAAGAGACTGCAGACATTTAAAATGTAAGTTAGAGTATTCTATTACTTTTTATATGAATAACAAAAAATTACAATTATTTGAAATACACATATAATATTTATTGTTAAAAAATTCAAATGATATAAATAGAATTCCAAATGTTTCCTTCCTATCCCTCTCTCCTTGGGGGTTTAACCAGTAAAATATACTGTATTTATCTATACATTTTTGTAATAGAAACATAGTTTTGCACATGTATTGTTTTAAAAAAGGTTACATGTATTATGTAACTGTATTATGAAATTGTCTTTTTTCTTTAAATAGGATGTCTTAGAGATTTCTTCCACATCAGTACAAAGAAGTTATATCTAATGTTTTATAGTTCACTTACTAGCAAAATATACACGAAGTGGACAGATTTTAAGTATAAAACTTCATGAATTTTTAGATGCATATAGCCATCCCTGTAAACCACCACCCAGAACAAGACATAAAACATTTCCATGTTAAAATACAGAATATTTCCATCATCCAAGAAGGGTCTTTTATGCCTCTTCCTAGTCCATAACTTTTGTACTCTGTTTCACACCTTCCCCTTTCCTCCCCTAATTCTGACTTTAGGCACCGTAAATAAATTGCCCATTCCTGAAATTCATATGAATGGAATGATATACCTCTGTGTGTGGTTTCTTTTGCTTAACATTATGCCTGTGAGATGGATCCATGTTCTGTTTCACAGTAGTATTTTTTATTACTTGATAGCATTTTATCACATGAATATATAATAGCTTATTTATCCATTTTCTTTTTAGTGGATATTTGAATAGTTTATAGTTTTTGACTATTATGAAGAATGCTTCAGTGAATATTCTTGTTCATGTCTTTTGATAGACATTTGTACTTACTTTTCTTGTGTGTAAACCTAAGACTTGGAATAACTTTAGATTCACATGTCCTTTGCTTTGGTAGATATTGCCAGACAATTTTCAAATGTAGTTGTTATAATCCATAGTCCTACCAGCAGTGTATGAGCATTTCAGTTTCTCTTCATCCTTGTCAATGTTTGGTATCATTACTGTTTCCAAAGTTCAGCCATTTTGATATGTATGCAGTGGTATTACCTTTTGAGTTTCCTTGGTGACTAATGTTACTGAGCACCTCTTGATATTTTTTTATGTTTGTTACCAAGAACTTAGTGATGCTTATTGGCCATTTAGACATCCTTATTGTGCAATATGTGTTTAAGTCTTTTGTGTATTTTTATGGATTTTCTTTTTTATTGATTTTTTTGGAGTACTTCATGTCTTTTCAGATAAAAATACTTTGTCAGAGACTATTATGAATATCTCTTCCCAGTCTGTGACCCACCTTTTCACTCCCTTCATGCTGTCTCTTGATGAGTTGAAGTTTTTAATTCTAATGAAGTTTAAGTTATTAACCATTTACTTTATGGTTAATTCCTTTTGTATTTTGTTTAAGAAACCTTTACCTGTCCAAAGTTATGAAGATAGTGTCCATTGTTTTAGTAGTTCTGTTGTTTTTAGCCTTTATATTTAACTTTCTTATCAAGCTCAGATTAATTTTAGTATATGTGTTATTGAGGAGGTGGTATCATTTTTTTCCTTTTATGAATATACAAATGGTTCATTGCCATTGTGTATAGACAGGGCAATCTTTTCCTCACAGGATTGAGTTAGCAGGTCATGTGATGTGTATAATGGTATGTTTCTGTTCCCTCTTTTCTATTCCATTGACCTATTTATTGCCAGTGCCATACTATCTTGAATACTGCAGCTTTCTAACCTTTTTTAAAAAATTTTCTATTAAGGTATTATTGATATACACTCTTATGAAAGTTTCACATGAAAAAACAATGTGATTACTACATTTACCCATATTATCAAGTCCCCACCCATACCCCAATGCAGTCATTGTCCATCAATGTAGTAAGATGTTGTAGATTCACTGTTTGCCTTCTCTGTGTGTAGCTTCATAGTCTTTATATCTGGTAGTATATTTATATATAGATATCTGATAAGATAAGACTTTCAATTTCCTTTTTTTTTCTTTAAGATTATACTGACCATTCTAGGTCTGGCATTTTTATAAAATACTTAGAATCAACTTGTCAGTGTCCATAAGAAAACTCTGCTGAGATTTTGAATGGTATTTCATTGACTCTGTAGAACCATCTATGGACAACTGACATCATAACAATACTGAGTTTTCTAGTCCATGAACATGGAATATATATTTTTATGTAAATATTCATTTTTTTCTCAACAATGTTTTATGGTTTTTAGCATAAGAGTCTTATGTATCTTTTGTAAGATTTATTCTAGATTTTTTTAAAAAGTATATATTTAATATGTCTATATTAATTACTGTGTCTGGAAGTATAGTTTACTTTTGTAAGTAGCCTTGATAAATTCGCTTATTCTAGCATTAAAAAAGATAGGTTATTTTGGAATTTCTATATACACAATCATATCAACTGTGAATCACAGCAGTTTTGCTTTTTTCTTTCCAACATTTAAGTTTTTCATTTTTTTCTTGCTTTATTACACTGGCTATGACATCCAATACAATGCTGGATAAGTGGTGATAGTGTACATGCTTGTTTTATTCCTGAATGAAAGAGAATATTAAATATTTAATCATTATATGTGCTGCTAGCTGTAGGACTTCTACAGATCCTCTTTGTCAGATTGAGGAAGTTTCCCTCTAGTCTTAGTTTGCTGATGGTTTTATTACAAATAGGTATTAAATATCATTATGTGCTTTGATGCATCTATTGAGATACGGATTTTTTTCCTTTATTTTGTTAAATATGATAAAATTTATAATTGATTTTTGAATGCTCCCTTCTTGGCATAAAGTGTTCTAGTCATCAGTTTTTGTTATTTCATATTTTGCTGAATTTGATTTGCTGATATTTAAGGTTTTGATGTCTGTTTATGTAATAGGTTGACTTTAATTTTCTTTTCTTATAATAACTCTTTTTAGGTTTTAAAATAATGTTATGACTGGCCTAATAAAATGAATTGAGGATGTTTTCTTCTCTATCCTATGAAAGTGACTGTGTATGATTAGAATGATTTCTTTTTGTTTGAAAAAATTCATGTTATTATAAATTAGTGGAGTTTTCTTTGCGGGGAGTTTTAAAAAACGGGATTCAATTTCTTTAGCATTTATAAGACTATATTGTCATTTTCTCGTTTGTGTTTTTCAAGGAATTTGTCTTTTTCATATAATTCTTTGAATTTATTTGCCTGAAGACTTTTTAGTTAGCTTTCTTTAAGGATTTTGAGTTTGATTTCAGTAGAATATGGTCAGAGAACATACTCTGTATGATTCTACTCCCTTGAAGCTTTTTGAGACTTGCTTTGTGGCCTGGCTTATGGATTTTGATGAATGTTCCATGTGAACTTCAAAGAGTATGTGTTTTGTAGTTGTTGGGTACATGTTCTATATATGTGAATTAGCTCAATTTAGTTACTCATCTGTTCCAACCTTCTATATTCTTTCTGATTTTTGTGGTGCATAAGAAAGGGTATTTCATTTTAATTTTAATGTCTTTTATTGTGAAAATTTATTAGTGTTGAATTAATTTTTTTGTTTAAAGGCCATTAGCATTTCTCTATGAACTGACTTCTCATACCTTTCGTGTGGCTTGCCTTTTAACACTATTTCTAGTGTGCTTGATCATTTGAAATTTAAAATTTTTATTTGTCAGACATTACTTTCTCTGTGGTAACTTCTGTATTTTGCATTTCTTAAGGTTTCTCTCAATTATAGTACAGTCATTTATATTTTCTTCTAATAAGTGTATAATTTTTCATTTTCCTCTAGAATGTGTTTTTCTGAAATGACCAACAAATTGTTCCTATAAAATTTGTTGAATAACAACAATGATAATTCTAATAACTACCATCTATTGAGTATTATACAGTATGCATTGTTCTCCAGTAGTGTTTATATATTAAATCATTTACTTCTCATAATAACCTTATGAGGTCAGTACTTTCATTTCCATTTTAAAAATGAGGAAACTGAGACACAGGAAACATTTAGTAATTTGTCCAAGGTTACTGTATTAGTCTGGGTCCAGCTAGGAGCCAGAAATCACACAGTAGTTAAACAGAAGTTAATACAAAGAATTATTAGACAGTGATAGGAGAGTAACTAAATAAAGACAGAAAGAGAACTCAAAGTGTATCTTAAGAGCCAGGGGAAAATACCCAATAAGGATGAATTTGGGAGGGGGTTCAGACCTCACTGAAGATGTGGTTGCAGCCTGCTCTGGCAGAGAAGTTACTGGGTTACCCAGACAGCAGTCACTTTGAGAGCAGGAACAATCCTGTGGGGTGCTGGTGAGCTTAGGGTGGTAAGTGGTCATTCAGAGATCAGGAAACCATGGGGATTAAACCTCTGTTGTGCATAGTAAATTGGGGTTTGGGCTCACTGGACAGTTATCCTCATGGGATACTTTGCTATGTGTGCCTTTGAGGCTGAGGAAAAGATATGGGAGTCAGTGACTTGAGCTGGGCACAATTCTTCTCTTTCTGGGGCTGTCAGTTGTGTTGCCGTGGCCTGACTCAGGAGCTGTGGGAAACCATGGTGGCCAAATGCTGGAGAAAGCTGCACCCTGTAGGCACAGCACTGAAGAACATCATGGCCAAGTAGTGGAGAAAAACTGGAGTTCTCCTGGAACCTGGCTTAGCCAGCTACCTTTTCATCAAGCAATGTGTCTCTAGTGCCCTCTACTGACAAAGCTTATTGGTGTGACTGCTGGCAAAGGAGACATATTAAAAGGGCCCATATCCATTTTCACAAATCAAGCAACAAAGGGTGAATTTGTAGCTGAGAAGCAATAATTTGGTAACTGGCACAGTTATAAAACAATCTGACTCACATCACTTTGTGTTTATTCTCTCTCTCGTAGTCTGTCCTTTTCCTACTCATTGAATATTATCTATGTCATATATTAATATCCAAATTCACATGTTTTTGTGTCTCAACTTTAGCTTTTATTCTGTTCCATTAATATGTTTGTCTTTTTTTTTGTACCCCAAACATACTCTTTAATTAGAAAAACTTTTAATAAGAAATGGTGTCTTATAGGTGAATACCTCTTTATTTCAAACTTTTCCTGATGAATTTAAGAGTCAACTTCTCATATATCATAGAAATCTTTTTGAAGTTTCTATGAGGAATTTATTGATTTGAATTTATAGGCTAACATGGCAATTATTAATATCTGTACAATATTGAATTACCGTATACAAAAATATATTTTAAGAGCTAGAACATAGATCTGAGCTTTTCCTTCCTTTCGTATTTCATACTTGGTTTTTGTGAAGGAAGTTCTTGATATTTAACTAAATACCTAATTGGATATAAGTTAATCTGGTGAGTTTAATTTGAGTTTTTATAGTCTCTTTATATCCCACTGCCAATTTTTGTTTTGTTTGTTTGCTATTAAGAGTGTCCTGAGAGGTATCCATAAATTAGTGGTTAAGGGTGTGATCTCTGGCATTTACCTGCCTCTGTTAAAAATCTCAGTGCTGGGGTCTTGGGCAGGTAACTATACCCTCTGTGCCTGTGTTTCTTCAGTAATCAGAGTTTGTAAGTATACTTATATGAGAGAGTTAAGGGATCAATTATAATCCAATTCACTTGGGGTTTGGCACGTGTTGGTACTAAGTTTCTATTGCTGTGGTCCACTCATTGTCACTGTCATCCTGACAGTGTTTTTCACACTAGTACTTATTGTCCTATCATTCCTCTAGATAAGCACCTCTTCTCACTTGTCACATACTGTTTTCCCCTCTGGAAACAGTTTGAACCATATTTTAGGTTACAGCTTTATACATACTTGGCCACTTTCCCCAAGACTTACCCAACTTATAGGACTTCCTAGGTTTTCTGTCTCTCTTGCAGGTGAGATTTAAAATTTTGGCTATTAATTTTTTTCCCTGAGGTGAATTTCAAGCTGTTTGTAATCATGTTTATTCTTTAGATGATGATGGATAAAAGCAGAAAACAGATCAGAAGCCTAATACATTATGTATTATTTCAAATTCAGTCTTTGCTGTTATAGCACATGGCAAAGCATGAGAATGTATGTTTTATATTTGTGTTCTTCTTGTGTCTACTAAATATTTGTTGATTGAACTTACTTTTTCTTTTCTGGAGAAACACATTATGACTCTCAGATAAGTAAGATTGCATCCTTTCTCCAGCATTAACATACATATTCATTAAAAAACAACTTTGAACATTTCAAAATTTCTGGTTTTGATAGTAGATGCCACATTTTCAGTTCATTTTTTTCTATTCTATTCTGAAAATCTATTAAAAAGCCTAATATATTGTGTATTATTTCAAATTCAGTCTTTGCTGCTATAGTACATGATAAAACATGAGAATGTATGTTTTATATTTGTTCTTTTCTTGTGTCTACTAAGTATTTGTTGATTGGATCCGTATTCATGATAATTAAGGGTTTTCATTAGCTTATAAAAGAAGAGTTTTCCAAGATATTTAAGAGTTTTTTTTTATTGAAACAGTCACAAAACTGAGTGGAAACTTGAAGACATTTTTTTTACTTCATTTTCCGCCAATTTTATTTTATAGGAATCAAGAACCCAGTCTCAGTTGCGAACAGACTCTTGTGTGAAGGCCAGAAGGGCAAGCTCTCCGCCGGCCGGATTCCTCCCTGGTAATTTCTTTGTTCTGTCTGACTTTTCCTGGTCTTTGGTGCATGTGGTGTTTGAAGGCTATCTTTATCCACAAAATACTGATACTGTTGTTTACACACCAGCAGTGGTTTCCTTTGAGAGGAAGGACACACTTTGGTGATATTGGAATATTTTGTTTACTTGATAGCCCTCTGGATGGAATGGAAGATGATGGATTAAAGCAAAAAAGAGATCAAAATTAATTTTTGGGTTTGTATTGGATGATAGAGATATGTTGCTGTTATTAAGTGTTCAACAGGGGTCTTTTTATAATGAAACTATAAAAGTATCTTACACATTTGAGGCTAGAGCCTAAGCTAATTCTTAATTTTGAGAAGTTCTTAGAATAAAAGAACTTACTTTTTCTTTTCTGGAGAAACACATTGTGACTCTCACATAAATAAGATTACATCCTTTCTCCAGCATTAACATACAATATTCATTTAAAAACAACTTTGAACTTTTCAAATTTTATAAAAGGAAAGAGAACATTGTAAAGAGCCCTCGTGAACCTGTCATCCAACTCTGATAATTAAAGTTTTTGCCTTTTGTCTATCTCATACATTTCTCTTTTCCTGTAGCCTTTTAAAGCAAATCTTTGACATCATATTGCACCCTTAAATAGTTTTGTAAATTTTTCTATGTTTGCAAAACATAACCACCATCCTGTTAGCATGCCTGTTAACAATTGTTAAACCCAGTACCACCTCATTCTCAGTATGTGTTTAGCATGCCTGGCTCTGAAGGTTACATTAATGTTCTGTGTTGGAAGCTGTGAAAGCAATACTATAGGAATCACTTTATTTGATTCTTAAAATATGAAGTCATAGAAAATAAATTAATATCATTTTCAAAAATTTTGAAACCTTTTACCCAAATATATTCAAGTTATATTTTTAATCATATGTTTCTTGGATGTTGAATTGGGATACTAGGAAGGTCAATTATAAAAAATTTTCAAAGGAGTATTAATTTTTAATATTTGTGTATTCAATAAAGCAAGGATAAAGAACAAATCTGATTTCTTGAGGTCATTTTTTATACGTGTTGATATCAATAAGTGTAGTTGTAATTCTGAAAGTTGGAAAAATGATTTAAAAATTCTTACATATACTTTCCTGATAATTTATGTTAACCCATGCAATTTTGTTTACTACTATGAAATCCACCAACCGAAAACTTAGTCTGTGTTTGTTTAGGACTTCTGTCCATACCTTTTAGGGGTTCTTATTATCCATTCATTTTTAGGGGAGTAAAAGATATAAAAAGATTGCCTCTGGATTTATATTATCCTTATTGTTTATTTTTTTACTGAACTATAGTTGATATACAGTATTACATTTAAGTGCACAACATAGTGATTGTTGTACATAGTACATAACTGTACTACATTCTTAAATGCTCACACCAAGTAAAAACAGTTACTGCCTGTCAACATAGAAAGATGTTACAGAATTATTGACTCTATTCTTTATGCTATACTTTTATCCCTGTGACTAATTTATATTTTGATTGTGATTTTGTGCCTCTTTATACCCTTTACCTATTTCACCCACCTTTCCAACCCCTCCCTAGTGATAACCACCAGTCACTTCTCAGTGTCTGTGAGTCTATTTCTGTTTTGTTTTTTCAAATTCCACATATAAATTAAATCATATGGTGTTTGTCTTTCTCTGCCTGGCTTATTTTCCTTAGCATAATAGTTGTTGGAAATGGCAAGCTTTCTTTCATTTTTATGATTGAATCATATTTCATTGTATACATGTACCACATTTTCTTTATTCATCTATGGATAGGCACTTTGGTAACTTTGTATCTTGGCTATTGTAAATAATGTGGCATTAAACATAGGAGTACATATCTCTTTTCACATCAGTGATTTTGTTTTCTTTGGGTAAATGTCCAGGAGAGGAATTGTGGAGTTGTATGGTATTTCTATTTTTAGTTTTTTAAGGAACCTCCATACTGCTTTCCACAGTGGCTGCACTAATTTACATTCCCACCAATAGTGTACAAGGGTTCCCTTTTCTTCACATCCTTGCCAATACCTGTTATTTCTTGTCTTTTGGATAGTAGTCATTCTGACTGGTGTGAGGTGATATCTCATTGTGGTTTTGATTGGTATTTCCCTGATGGTTAGTGCTATGGAACATTTTTTCATGTGTCTGTTGGCCACCTGTATGTCTTCTTTGGAAAAATGTCTATTCAGGTCTTCTGCCTATTTTTTAATCAGGTTATTTGTTTTTTGGTATTGTCATATAAGTTCTTTAAATATACTGGATATTAGCCCCTTATCAGATATATCATTTGCAAATATATTCTCCTATACAGTAGGTTGCCTTTTTGTATTGATGGTTTTCTTTGCTGTGCAGAAGCTGTTTAGCTTGCTGTAGTCCCACTCGTTTATTTTTGCTTTTGTTTCACTTGACTGTGGAAATGTATCCAGAAAAAATTACTTATGCTGATGTTCAAAAGATTCTTGCTTATGTTTTCTTAGAATTTCATGGTTTCATGTCATATACAAAGGTCTTTAGTTCATTTAGAGTTTACTTTTGTGTGTGATGTTAGTGATCCAGTTTCATTCTCTTGCATGTAGCTGTCCAGTTTTCCCAACACCGTTTATTGAAGAGACTGTCTTTTCTCCTTTGTATATTCTTGCCCCCTTTGTCATATATTAATTGATTATATGTGCATGAGTTTATTTCTCATAAACAGAACAGAGCTCTCTGTTCTGTTGATGTATGTGTCTATTCTTGTGGCTGTACCATACTGTTTTAATCACTGTAGATAGGTAGTATAACTTGAAATCAGGGAGCATGATACCCTCAGCTTTATTCTTTCTGAAGTTTGCTTTGGCTATTTGGGGTCTTTTGTGGTTCCATGTAAATTTTAGGATTATTTGTTCTAGTTCATTGAAAAATGCCACTGGTATTTTGATAGAGATTGCATTGGACAGGATGGCCATTTTGGCAGTATTACTTTTTCCTATCAGTGAGCATGGAATAGCTTTCTAATTATTCTTGTCTTTTTTCCTTTATTAGTGTCTTATAGTTTTCAAGTAAAGACCTTTCACCTTTGGTTAGGTTTATTCCTAGGTATTTTGTTCTTTTTGATGCAATTTTAAATGGAATTTTTTCCCTAATTTCTCTTTTTACTAGATCTGTTACTAGTATATAGAAATGCAACAGATTTCTTTTTTCTTGATTGTAGATTTTTCCCTTTCAATACTTTGAAATTTTCATGCCACTCCCTTCTGGTTTATTAAATTTCTACTGAGAATTCTGTTGATAGCCTTATATAGTTTCTGTTGTAAGTAACTGCCTGCCTTTCTTTTGCTGCTTTTAAGATTCTCTATTTTTAATTTTTGCCCTTAATTACTATGTGTCTTGGTGGTGTCCTCCTTGGATTCATCTTGCTGGGGGCTCTCTTGTGCTTCCAGGGTTCCTTCCCAGATTGGGGATGTTATCAACTATTATTTTTCTTCAAAGGGACTTTCTCCCCCTTCTCCTTCTGAGACCTCTATTATGCAAATATTGTTTCGTTTGGAGTTGTCACACTTTCTCATTTTTAGAATTTCTTTTTTCTCTCTGTTCCTCAGCTTGATTACTTGGCACTTCTCTATCTTCCATCTCACTGATCTGTTCCTCTACCTCTATTTATCCTTATATTCATTCTTCTGTTGTATCTTTCATTTCATTTATTGCATTCTTCAGCATTGAATGGCTTTTTAAAAATATTTTCTACCTCCTGTTTAAAATCTTATTTAAGTTCCTGAACTGTTTTTCCTAGGTCAGTGAGCATCTTTATGATCATTACTTCGAATTCTTTATCAGGAAGATTGCTCATCTCCATTTCATTTGGTACTTTTTCTGGTGTTTTAACTTGTTTTTTTATTTGAAATATACTCTTCTAGTTCCTCATTTTGTTTGGGTCTCTGTATTTCTTCCTTTATTAGATACATCAGCTATGTCTCTGCTGTTGAAAGTAGTGGCTGGCTTTATGTAGTAGGTGTCCATTGTGCCCAGAAGCTCCAAACCCTCTGCTCACCAGAGTCTGGTTATCCTTGCAGCTGCTGTTGGTGGGCTGTGCACGAGGCCTGCCTTTCTGCCTCTCAACCAGGAATGGTGGAACCTCATAGCCAGCCTCTACATGCCTTTGTAGATGTGATCTGAGGTGCTTCTCCTGGGGTACAGTGTGGGTGAGACCACCTCTGACTGTCATTCATGGTGGACCACTGCTGGGCAGAATGCGCTGGGTGGGTCAGTCATGATGGGGATGCTGGGGCGGAGCCAGCAGGGCAAGTGAAGAGTTTCAGAGTGGCTTCTGCAAGCAGCTTTCCCAGCCTCTCTGAGGGAAGGCTGGGAAAGAGTCATCTGCCTGCCCTTTTTCCTCTGAAGAGAGCTCTCTTAGGCCCTTCCCGCGCACTTCCCATGGCTAGCAGATCTTTCAAATTGCTTCTTGCGTGTTGTGTCTCAGAAGGACTGATGGAGTATGGCAGTCTTCCACAAGTGACAGAAGTCTCAGCCCCCTCTCAGTGCTCCAACTCTCCCTAGTGTCCAGTCTCATTAATCATCAAAGCCCAGTGCAATGTGGGCTCATCTTCCTAGAGCAGATCTCCAGGCCAGTTGTGTTAGATTCTTGAGCATTTCTTTCCTCCTCACTCCATTCCTTTCTCTTCCATTTGTGTCTGAGAGAGGGGAGGGGCTTGGGTTCTGATTGATCATGGCTTTGCCCCTTTACGCTTCTCAGTGTGGCCTTCTCTTTGGCAGGTACAGATGGTCTGTTCTGCAGTCTTCAGGTTATTTTCAGGGTTAGCTGTATTTGATGTAGTTGATTTCTCAGTGTATACATGGGAAGAGGTTATCTCAAGTGACCTCCTGTTTCACCATCTTCCTCCCCTTCTTCTCTTCAGTATTGATTTAAATGTGACTGTTTTCTTTTACCCTTATTTGATATTATAGGTAAAGCATAGTCAACTCTA